GTAGGAACAGCAGATAAGTGTGTATCATTGCGATAATGAATGATGATGTATGCAATTTTTCAAGTTGCCAGGTTCACGAGGATGTTGGACAACATGTATTGTATATTATATAAGTGTGACATCTGGTGATTATCAATATAAATTAGGTGGTTTTGAAAGGTATTCACTGGTTCAATACGTGTATGAACTCCAACATTTGTCCTCCACAGATCTCAATAAATATTCATTTGTAATATTTATGAAGTGCAGCGTTTCCAGAGTGATTTTCTGTTTAGTTGTAAGGGTATTGTTTTGTATTTAAAAAATGTTCGAAGGTCATTTGTATAATGTTTCTAGTCATTGTAATACATTGTTAAGATTCTATTCAACGTTAACATGACTGTTGGTTTGTTGTTCTTTTTATAGTTAAAGTTATAGTTTATTAGTTGGGCTTGAAGTCTATTCAACACATAAGTGTTTTGCGGATTAGTACAGATATGGAGGATGAGACAGATAAGGCAGGAAAAGAGAAAGCACCTACATTGGTGGAAAAATGATGGGATCCTGAGGATTTATCCTGATAAATGTTCAGTTCGATATTGTAGGAGACTCATCAAAAACGGCTGCATTGACTAGAAAGGGTGTTCAAATGTTCCTCATAACGTCCTGAATACTACAATGTTGTTTTACTTTTCAGGCGTCCCCATTACGCAATGTAGTCGCCTTAGATTTTATCAGGCATTGCCAATTCCCTCGGCTGATCGTTTAGGCCCATAACCTCTTGTGTCTACACACGATCGGATTGGCGACACATAACCTCTTGTGTCTACACAAGATCGGATTGACGACGCATAACCTCTTGTGTCTACACACGATCGGATTGACGACACATAACCTGTTGTGACTACACACGATCGGATTGACGACACATAACCGTGTTCATATCAATGCTTATATCATGCATGTGAAAGTTGCAGCACACACACTTCGTAGTTGGAATTTATTGGACCTTTCAGGACGATCATTGACTTCTTTCCATTCTTTTAAAAACTCGTTAACTTCAAATGTACTATCTCCTCCGCCAATCTACTTAGGTTTCAGTGAACGTAAATTGAACAGTTTGCATACAAATCTTAGATATCAGTGTAGTCCACTTAAATATGATCTTTATAGGGTAAATCTTGTTGATAGTCCAGTTTGTAATTGTGGCCATCCCTGTGAAAATGCCTTTCACTTTTTTTATGAGTGCTTACTTTTTAACGACGAAAGACGCATCCTGTTCCAAAATTTGAATGCCTTGTATGTTGATTTTGATTTAGAATTACTTTTGTTTGGTAATACCCAACTTTCTATAGAAACCAATACAAAAGTTTTTAAACAAGTGCATCATTACATCTAATCCAGCTATAGGTTTTGATAATTATAATTATCATTTCTTATTTTTATTTATATGTGTATGTTGTTAATATATGTTTATGAAATTGCATTTCATTATTTTGCTTGATTACTTAATTACATTGATCTTGTTCATTATAAAATTACTATACCGGGCTGCATGTCATGAAATTTTGTATAATTTATAATTTATTTAAATGCGGATCCTTTTCACAGTTTAGACGATATCTTTTCNGTATATTTGTACAATAAAATATGTTTAAACTAAACACACACTGCACATGTACATCTAAAATACTGTGTCAAATGAGATTCGTCCCTGTCGGCCGATATGATTACTAGTGTTTGTATGCGACGTTTTCGTGTTTTCAAGTTTCCTGCTCTTGGGATAGCAAAGAAAGTGGTTTGGGAAGAACATAGTAGAGATGAGAATTGATTCGAGGAGGAATGAAGAGTATTTTACACCTAGTATAGAACTAATTTTAGTTATTAAACAAAACTTTATATTTTAAAATTATTTCCAAGCATGAAATAATCAATGTTTAATGTGTGCCTGAATCATCTGAGCTACCCCGCTCCCTTCCCTTCTTTCTATCTCTCTTTGTTTTAGTTAAAAATCAGGTTGTATATAAGTTTAAATGTTTTTGTATCGATCTTTTCCTATGCTGACGGCACAAGAGAAACGGATATTCAAGGACGAACGGAATGACAAGGAGGAAGCAAACCAAGGCACGGGAGTGATGGACAATAGTATAAGCAAAATGGTTTGGAAAGTGTATATTGTCAACTTCTGCCGTCAGTGTCAGAAAAGATTGTCCACATTATGAAAAAATACATTTTTAAAATTTCTCTCGCTCTCTATACAGATGTTTTATTTCAGGGAAAGGGCTTTAAATAAGTTGTACAACTTGTGCCCAATCCTGTTGCTTTAAAGGCAATAAAATATGTTTAAATCAAAATCATCCGAGCTATGTTTTTCCACATCAGAAGACATGTCTTTCAAAATTGACAAGAACTATTCTGCATCCTCCTCGGCGATTAAATTCCCAACAGCGCGCCTTAATTACGTCTCTTTCTAGACAAAGAATTATATGGAAAAAAATGAAAATTAGATTGGTGCTGATTTATCCAATTAATAACGGTTATTAGGACATTTGATCTTATTCCGTTGTGCAATGTCCGTCATCTGTCCCAATAACCTAACGAAGGCATTTAAGGAAATCGGAAAAAAATATATGACTTTTTGAAGTTCCATAAAAATAGGGCATTTCCCAGTGAAAATAAATAAGGAAAATTCTAAATTGCGTTCCGACACCACTTTTAAGACTTTTTATTTATATATATATCAAAACTGCGATATTTTATTCCAATTAAATGAAGATATGTTTATTCATATTGAACCAAAATCTCATATCCCATGGCAGCTATCTCCAAAACAAAATTAAGAGCTAAAAACTGTATGTATGAATAACTATGTGTAATTATCTAGTCATATGCCTGTATTGGGGCAGTAATCCTTAAATCGTCAATGGATTGATATAATCTGTGCAGAAATGGAAAAAATAGCCACGATACAAACAAGCAAATCAGATTCTCGAATAACTTTTGAGACGATCACTTTGTAACTCTTTTAACACGGAGGTACAAATGGTTTTTAGTTTATAAAAAATCGGAATACCTTTGGACTTCACATAACTAGAAAAGTTAGACGGACAGAATGGCGTCTGCAGGAACAGGTAAGATGACAGTGAATCCAGACATCGCCAAAGAACGTCGGAATGCAGGTTTCCACGTGGAAAATCTTACCAACTTTATCTACCACGGACCAGAAAGAGTGAGAAGGAGGCGCTATATGCGTAAGTACTAATTCTGTTGGGCAAAGTGCTGACTGTCACGTACCGACATTTTAGGTCCAAACTACCACTTCATCTGTTCATAGTTGTTCTAACGAGTGGCCTCATTACTGACCCATGATTTGTGTCATACAGACATGTAGATATATCTAGGTCATATGATATACAGATCTTACTAGATATTCGACTACTTTATTGAATTGTACTTTTCATATAAAATTTCATATGCACGGAGAAACTTATGAACGCGTTTGTATCAAT